AACAAATGAGTAATAGCAGGTAAATTCCTTAACTTGAGAAAGGGTAACTATCAAAAACTTTTGAGTACACAGTATCACTGCTTCTTATTCAAAGACGTACTAGAGTTCTTATGCAATATAAAGAGAAAAAAAACTGAAAAGGACACACAAAATTATCATTATTTTGCAAACAATGTGACAGTTCATATGGAAAATGCAAGAAAAATGTAAGAAAGTCTTAAACTACTGAGACAATTTAATGAAAGAGTTCAAGAAGGTTGCTGGATAATTAAATTCCATTCATAACAGTAACAAAAACTACATAATATCTAGGAATAAATTTTAAAAATGTATAAAATTTTTATAGAGAACACTACAAAACTTTATAACAAAAATAACACCTAAATGAATGGAGATATAAAATTAATAACACCTAATACATACTGCTTAGTGTTTAGCATGTGCCAGACTTTAAGTGCTCTTACATGTATTAACTCATTTAATTCTCACATTTCAGTTTTGCATTATACTTTATCAATGAGAAAACCGAGGCAGAGAATTTACCCAAAATCAGTGCAGGTAGGTAGCAGGTCTGGGATTAGAACCCAGGAGGTCTGGCTCCAGAGTCCATCCTTTTAACCAGGAACCAATCTTTGTATTGTAAAGATATGAATTCTCCTCAAATTAATTCATAAATTCAATGTGACTATAACAAAAAATGCACTAGGCACTTTTTCTTTGAATTAGACAACAAGCTGATACGAAATTTCAGATGGAAGAGTAGTAAGACAGAATATAACCACAGTTTTACAAAAATAGGACAACTCACTCTACCAGGTACCAAGATTTATAAAACTACAGCAAATAAAACAAATGTGGTATGAGTGCAGGCACAGAGAAATTAAAATAGATCAGTGGAACAGAATCTAGAAATATCCAGCAAATACAAACTTACCACATGCCAGAGATGGAATTCATTAGCAATCAATGGGGAACAGTGGAATATCAAATAAATAGGTAATTTTGTTAAAAACATAAATATGCATGTATGTATATGTATATATATTATATATAACTGACCATATAATATTAATAAAAACCAACATATTATTTAATATATAAGTTATATATTGAATAATTATACACACATACATATAAAATCATATATACTTGTATTTATGTAAAATTAGATCCCTACCTCTAAAACATACATGATTATATTTTGGAGATGAATTAAAGACCTAATTGCAAAAATAAAACATTAGAACTATTAGAAATAATATGAAAGTAACTTTATGACTCCAGGATAGGAAAAGATGTACAAATAATTCACAGAAAGCACAAATATGGCAATATATAATTAACTAGCTCTATAACAAAAATTAAGTTTTGTTATCACAAATCTAAAACAGGTAATGGATTTTGCAGGGAGGAGATGTGTATATTATCTGCAATAGATTGGTATCAAGAGGATATTAATACATCTCAAATATTTAAGAGTAAGACATTTAACATAATGGAAAATGGGAAAAAGATGAACAAGTAACAAAGAAAATCCACAGTCTAATAAATATATGAAAAGATATTCAACTTCAGTAGTATTCAAGAAAATATAAATTAAATAACAAGCTGATGTTTCATTGCCCACTGACTATTATAAAGCGTGACTCACAGAGACCTCTACTAGTAGAAATGTAAATCGACAAAATCATTTTGAGTGCAATTTGGCAAACACTAGTTCAAAACACTCATGTGTTATGGCCGGCAATGCTGCTTTTAGGTATATATACTACAGAGCTGAAGTCAACAAATTAGGGCCTGTTAGCCATCTGTTTTTGTGAATTAAGTTTTACTGAAGCACAGCCATGCCTATTTGCTTACATACTAACATCTATGGTTGCTACAAAAGCAGAGTTGAGAAGCTGTGACAGAGATCATATGGCCCACAAAGAATATTTTTTTTATGACCCTTTAAGAAAAAGTTTGCTGACTGTTAACCAAGACAAACTCTTGCACAACTCTTACAAGATATGAATAAGTATGTTTATCAGAGCTGTTTAAACAGTAAAAAATTACAACCTAAATGGCCATCAACCAGGAAACATACAAACTATATTATCCACACAATTACAAAAAATTATGGTAAAATGGAAGTGTGAGGAACTTTCAGCCTACCAATCCCCAGTCCCTAGAAGTTAGCTCCATTAACAACTTGATGTACATTTCCCCAGCCTTTGTGTACATGTGTATAGGAGAGTAGGGACCACCACCAGTAGGTGGTAGGCACCATTAGCTGCCCAAATATGTAGTAAACAAATAAAAAGCAAAATAAATAACCAAACTGTTAACAGAGATAGTTGGAGACTGACAATCTCACAGTCATGAGCAAGAATGGATTTTATTTTGAATTTCCCTAAACTGCTTACCAGTCATTTGTATGTTTTTACTAATCACTTGCATTTTCTTTTCAATAAAATGATATCCTCTACCCATTACAAAAAAAAAAAAACAGATGTCTTTTTTTTTCTTAGTTTGTAGGAATTCTTGCATTATAGGGATAGTGACTTTTTTCCCCTTTATGATGTTAAAAATATTTTCCCTTAGTTTATCTTCTGCAGAATATTTTAAAATTTTATGAAAAATTACATTTGTTGTCCTGTATTTTCTTCCATTAGTTTTAGGTTTATTTTTCACACTAAGATATTCAATCCATTTGTAATTTTTCTTTTTCTTTTTCTTTTTTTAAAATTTTATTTATTTTTGAGAGAGAGACAGAGAGAGAGAGAGAGAGAGAGAGAGAGAGAGAGACAGAGAGAGAGAGAGAGACAGAGCATAAGCAGGGAAGGGACAGAGAGAGAGGACAGAATCCAAAGCAGGCTCCAGGCTCCCGAGCTGTCAGCACAGAGTCCGACATGGGGCTTAAACCCACGAGCCGTGAGATCATGACCTCAGCCGAAGTCAGATGCTTAACCGAATGAGCCATCCAGGCACTCCCATTTGTAATTTTTCGTATACAAGGTTTGAATTAGGGATCTAATTTAATTTCTCTTCTCCCAAATAAGTTGCTAGCTGTACCTATGTATTTACTGAGCTATTTACCATTTCCCCCCAAATTTATGTATTTTTATATCTTATTTATTTTTTAATTTACATCCAAGTTAGTTAGCATATTGTGCAATGATGATTTTAGGAGTAGATTCCAGTGATTCATCCCCTATGTAGAATACCCAGTGCTCATCCCAACAAATGTCTTCCTTAATGCCCCTTAGCAATTTAGCCCATCCCCCACCCACAACCCTTCAAGCAACCCACAGCTGTTCTCTGTATTTAAGAGTCTCTTATGTTTTGTCCCCCTCCTTGTTTTGTATTATTTTTGCTTCCTTTCCCCTATGTTCATCTGTTTTGTATCTTAAATTCCACATGAGTTAAGTGATATGATATTTGTCTTTCTCTAATTTCATTTAGCATAATACCCTCTAATTTCATCCATGTAACTGCAAACCCAAAATTTATGTATTTTTAAGGTACCCGATAAATTCTGAATTTTAATACAATGAAACTTATCAGTTTTTTCTTTTACAAATAGTATTCTATATCTTGCTTAAGAAATCCTTTTTTACCCCAATATTAGAAAGATATTCATATATATTTTCTACTGAAAGGCTTATTTTTAAAGTTTTACTTTAAAAAAAAAATTTTTTTTTTAAATGTTTATTTATTTTTGAGAGAGAGAGAGAGGCAGAGCATGAACAGGGGAGACACAGAATCAGAAGCAAGCTCCAGGCTCTGGGCTGTCAGCACTGAGCCTGATGTAGGGCTCGAACTCACAAACTGTGAGATCATGATCTGAGTCGAAGTCGGACACTTAACTGACTGAGCCACCCAGAACCCCCTTAAAGTTTTACTTTTGGCATTTAAGATGTTAATTTGAACAGATGGGGGAGGTAGTGAGAGGAAATTAACAAAAGTTATTATATGCATGTATCATAACATAAGTAATATAGATATATTAGTTGAGCCTCTAGCCTCATTGTGAAAGTAACAGGTATGGACTACAAAATATATCATGGTACTGGGGCTTAACTATCTCCTTAGTCTACCACCATACTCTAGCATAAAGCAAATATACATTGTGTTTAGGAAACTACCATATAAAAGATAAAAACTACAGTTTGGGGATGTAAAATGTCTTGTATTAGTGATTTTAAAACCATAAACTTCTTGGAATAAAAAATGTATTTATACCATACATACAAATGTAGGCCCTCCCTTTTATTGACTATTCCCTTAAATAAAATCTTTAAAATAATGTTTTCCTCCCAGTTTGTTGTAAAAGTTTTCCTTTTTTTGTTTTTCTTTTTTAATGCCCATACTTGCTTTGAAACAGACAAGGCAAATGGTAAGGCCTTGTCAGGGCTTAAAACATTAGCGAGTAATACACTTGTGTAAATACAAAGTGCTAAATTCAATAATGTATGAAAATGCTTGACAAATAGCAAAGCTATTTAATATTCTTTTCTTGACATCAATTGAGGTAGAAATATGGGAATGTTCTCCATCCAACTCATTTCACCTCTCCCTGTGTCCTCTTTCTATATTTCCTTCCTACTTTCTTTAAGTGAGGTCTTCCCTTTTTTGTGTACAACTTAAAGAGCAGTGAAATATTCTGAATGTCATTACACATACTTAGATTACAAGAAGCAAAAATCTCAAAGGAGAAGTGAAGTTAACTATCAGCTACCAGATAACCAGCATCTAACACTTTTTCTCTCTTACTATTCCAAGGCACAGCAGAACAGAATCAGGGAAATGAAATACGGTAGAGGCAGAATCACGTGAATATTGGTTATGATGCGCAGCAGCCATAATAAATTATTATTCTGAAACAGTGCCTAAGTGAAGGTAGACTTATAAATATCTTTAATAATAAAATTTAATCAATGTTAACAGAGCTATAATTCATCACATTCTTAATAGCTCTCCTCTAGCCTGTGCTGTTTCATAATTTAATAATAAGTTACCTGTGCTCTTTTCTCCATATCCTGGCAAGTACCTAGTTGTTCTTCCATTGCAACTCTGATTTGCCTTGCTTCATATTCCAATTGTCTTCTGGTCATATCTGTTTGTAAGGAAAACTAAAACCACAAATTAAATTGAAATGCTAATATCTCATAAGTTTATCAGTAAAAACAAAAAAGCATATTAATGCCTAAAAAGAAAATTAATATCAAATATGTAAGTTACTACATATAACAAGATTATTTTGTTCTTTCAGGAGTCCTAAAATTTGATTATAGGTGCTGGGCTCAGTCTGGGTCCCTGATGTGAAATACTGAGTTTAAAACTTTTACTGCCCTGTAGCCACAAATGGCTTTACTTAAATTGTACTGATTCATTTAAAATATATAACTGGTCCAGTTAGGGTAAGCCTATCTTCAGTTCCCATATTATCCTCTGCACTGAGGGGGTACTACTTTAACTACTAAAAACTAGCATATTAATGTGGACAACATAGAAAAATCAAGAAACCATCCATCATCCTTAAGTTTGTATCTCAATTTAACGATTGTTATAAACATGCAGATTAAACAAAGAAACTCTCCCCATTTGCAAAATGAAGAAAATGGGACAAGGAAAAGCTTTTACATAATATAGATAATCACATATTACAAGACAACACAAACTTTTTGGTAATTCAAAAAAGCAAAGCTGAAATAAACAAAAAGAAGTTCTTCATACAGGAGGGTGTTAATTATTAAAAAATCAATTAACCCTATAGTTAAAATCCCGGGCACTAAGATAACTGCTAGACATACAAAAGGATGAAAAGGACAAGGTAATGAAACTTATAAACACATGCCTGGGTGGCTCAGTCAGTTAAATGTCTGACTCCTGATTTCGGCTCATGTCTGATCTTACGGTTTGTGAGATCAAATGCTATGTCAGGCTATGCACTGACAGCTCAGAGCCTGCTTGGGATTCTCTCTCTGCCCCTCTCCTGCTCACGCTCTCTCTCTCTCTCAATCTCTAAGTAAATGAATGTAAAAAAAAACAAACACAACAAGTGGTAATAGCTAAAACATGATTAAATAAAATGATAATAGGCCATGAAGGAAATGAGGAAGAGCTATAGATTTTTTTATGCTCTATATGCCTAGCAAAGAGCTGTGTCAGACCTGTGTCTGACTCAGAACGACATTCTGTAGGTCCAAGAATTCCAAACTACTTTGTGAGTTAAGTTAGGGGAACTCTCACCCTTTTCCCTTTCAATAATGCAGATGACACTCTACGGAGAATGTATTTCTATAGGCATGCCCAAGTTATGGGTTGCAACACAGATGAATTAGTCTGTATGTTATTTCTAATTCCCAATGAGCCAGTTCTAACTCCACTTACTTATCCTCCACTTCCCAAAGTGCCCTGCAAAAAATAAAAAGGTAAACGTGACAAAGTATGTTGCAATAATGTGGTTTAGATCTGATGTTTTAAAAGCAATGTCTAATATCTTGGTATTTGCAAATGAATGTGTTCTTAACTTGCTTCCCAATATAAATGCAAAAACTGTGAAATTAAAAAAATATTTATGATATACATGCAGTTTACATTTGCTAATGTTGCCAAATGGTCTATAGTGTCTTATATATGCCAATAAATAAATGGTTATTTAATAAATATGGGAATAACTTATTTGACAACTCATCTCTGTTTCAGATATTAACCAGTTATTCTCTCAAGTTGTCACATATATCTAAGCACTTTCTTAAACCTGATTACATGTAGACAACTGGACTCTAAATTTTTTTGTTCTAATTACCAAAGTGAATGGAGAGCAATATGCTTAGGTATTTTTTATTTAAGAGTAAAAATCCCACCAAACCTTCCTGAGTTCCTAATCCCTGAATCCAAGAACTTTCCATTAACTGTTCTTTCACTATCTGAGTCTCCTTAACTCCCCAGAAGATGTCAAGAACACTATCAGGAAAAGAGATCCTTTCTCTTCCTCTCAAAATCTTGTATGATTGTTCTAGGAGACAGTGCATTTTAGCTTCTGGTTCCAGCTCCTGCCAGACAATGCCCATGAGGAAACCTGGCTAAGTACATGTTTTGAAAAAAGCATTCCTTCTTCCTTTTTTTGAAGTGTTTATTTTTGACAAAGTGAGCAAGTGGGGGAGGGGCAAAAACAGAGGGGGACAGAGGATCCAAAGCAGGCTCTGTACTGACAGCAGAGAGCCTGATGCGGGCTCAAACTCATGAACCATGAAATCAGGACCTAAGCTGGAGTCAGAGGCTTAACTGACTGAGCCACCCAGGCACCCTGTGTCCCTTCTTTCTACTTTTGCTTTTTCATTTGTTATATTCTCTCAAAAATGTCATTAGAAAATGAAAAATCTAAGCTAAGAGAGAACAATATATTTTTTTAAAAATAGACACAGAATCCAAAGCAGGCTCCAGTCTCTGAGCTGTCAGCACAGAGCCCAACACGGGGCTTGAACTCACGAACTGTGAGATCATGACCTGAGCTGAAGTCCAAGGCTTAAGCCTCTGAGCCACCCAGGCGCCCCAAGGACAATATAATTTTAATTAACCTATTTTTTTTTTAAAACTGTAAAAAGTATTTATGGATAACAGTAACATATAATTTTAAGATTATTAATGTATTCCAGAACATTCTATTCTGAAATACTCTTACATGTGTCATCCCATGAATAAATTAGTTGACATGGAGAGCTTGTGTGGGGAAAGAAAAGCTGACAAGATTAAATTCTTTTTCACATAGTTATATTTGCAAACCAAATTTTAATACTTGTAAAAAGTCCTAGAGATCCTTGCCAACAGCTTTTGTCATTTATAATAACTGGAATAGCAGTCAAATTCTTTTCAAAGACACTTTAATTGCAAAAACTATATGGCATGTACTATGGTTAAAAAAAAATAGATGGTAATAAACAATTCTACAGAGTACGTTTGGTAATTAAACAGACAGAATAAAAAACCAGTTGCCTAGTTGAATCCTGAGTCCTTTAAAATTCAAACTTAATAGATTTTCTTAATTAGGGGCTGAAAACAAATTATTTGCTTGAGCATAATGAAGTTTTATCACCTTTACAAACAAAAATTCATTAACTATTATACATTTGAGTTTAAAGTTAGATAAAACATAGTACAGTTTACAGAAAACTAAAAACGTAGTTATCCTGGATTTTTAATGAGTAACAGGTATTTTTAAAAGATCAAGTTACTAAAGTCTAAAATAAGCTAAGTTACTTACATTTTCAGTTAAAGGAAGACTATCTATTCTTTTAGTGAGATTCTGAAGTTGAGCATAATACCAGTCTTTTTCCTTTTCTTCTTTGTCAAGATCAGCAAGAAGTAATGATCTGTTTTTCAAAAAAAGGGGAAGTTTACAAAATGCTAACAGAATACATAACAGTAATTCTTATCAGCTGTAATTGTAATGTTCTCTATTTAAACTAAAGTACTATTAATGAAGAAGCAGAAAACTTAGTGATTTTAGATTTTTGAAGGTGGGACTTAAAATTTTATAATCATTAAAATTTGAATATTAAAGTTTTTTACTTTTCCACCTAAATAAGATGTTAAACATCCTAACTAGAATGTTCACATGTCAACCAAAGGCTTTCTTCACATTTAGCATAGTCTAAGAATATGATAGTTTACAGAAAAAAGTACACATATAACAAAATTCAAAAGTGAATATAAGAATAAAAAGCATAATAGAGGAGTAAAAAAAAGCAGTAATTATACAAAAAACAAACCTAGAGTATAGGAAGCCACTGCACTGGGCAGACATGGCTTTCAGCTTCTCAGCAGCCAAAATAATAAGAAATATTTTGTCACTGTGTATTTCTCCAAAGAAGACATACAGATGGCCAACAGACACATGAAACAATGCTCAACATCACTCATCATCAGAGAAATGCAAATCAAAACTACAATGAGATATCACCTCAAACCTATCAAAATGGCTAAAATAAAAAACAAGAAACAACAAGTGTTGGTGAGGAAAAGGAATGCTCATGCACTGTTGGTTGAAATGTAAACTGGTGCAGTCACCCTGGAAAACAGTATGGAGGTTCCTCAAAAAATTAAAAATAGAACTACCCTCCAATCCAGCAATTGCACTACTGGGTATTTACCCAAAGAATATGAAAACACTAATTTGAAAAGATACATGCACCCTGTGTTTAGTGTAGTATTATTTACAATAGCCAAATTATGGAAGCAACTCAAGTGTCCAATGATAGATGATTAAGAAGAATGGAGAGAAAAAAAAAACAATGGAGTACTACGTGGCAATGAGAAAGAATGAAATATGGCCCTTTGTAGCAACATGGATGGAACTGGAGAGTGTGATGCTAAGTGAAATAAGCCATACAGAGAAAGACAGATACCATATGGTTTCACTCTTATGTGGATCCTGAGAAACTTAACAGAAACCCATGGGGGGAGGGGAAGGAAAAAAAAAGAGGTTAGAGTGGAAGAGAGCCAAAGCATAAGAGACTCTTAAAAACTGAGAACAAACTGAGGGTTGATGGGGGTGAGTGGAGGAGAAGGTGGGTGATGGGTATTGAGGAGGGCACCTTTTGGGATGAGCACTGGGTGTTGTATGGAAACCAATTTAATAATAAACTTTATACTGAAAAAAAAGAAGAATGGAGATATGTGTGTGTGTGTGTGTGTGTGTGTGTGTGTGTGTGTGTGTGTATACACACATATATATACACACATACATACTATGGATTACTCAGCCATAAAAAAGAATGAAATCTTGCCATTCACAATGACATGGATAGATCTAGAGAGTATAATGCTAAGTGAAATAAGTCAGTCAAAAAAGACAAACACATACCACATGATTTCACTCATGTGGAATTTATGGAACAAAAATGAACAAAGCAAAAAGAGGCAAACCAAAAAACAGACTCTTAACTAGAGAGAACAAACTGATGATTACCAGAGAGGAGGTTGGGGGGGAGTGGGTGAATTACATGAAGGGTGATTTAAGAGTACACCTATCATGATGAGCACTGAGTAATGTACAGAACTGTTGAATCACTATTGTACACCTGAAAATAACATAACACTATATGTTAACTGTATTAGAATTAAAAAAAATTAGTTGCAGAAACTTAATAACAAAAAAAGAAATATATTGTTACTGTACAACAATAATAAGTTATTCTCAGAGAAACTTTTTCTTAGTTTGGAATTTGAAGAATTTGTTATGTAATTCCTGGGCAACCCAATCAATGTCTTCAATAACAATATCAAGATATTCTATATCTGATCATTATAAACATAAATGCAAAATAAGAGTGTTAATTTGGGATAAAACTAAGTAGGTACAAAAAGTCTGTGATTTCCTATCATGTGGCTCTTTCCCAAAGTGACCTCTATTGTCATTTCCTGGTGTATATTTCCCAGAGATATTCTATAAAAATGCAAGAATCTATGTGTACACTTATATGTACATTAAAAATTTTTTTTAATGTTTTATTTTTATGTTTTGAGACAGAGAGAGACACAGCATGAATGGGGGAGGGTCAGAGAGAGGGAGACACAGAATCTGAAGCAGGCTCCAGGCTCTGAGCTGTCAGCACAGAGCCCGACGCAGGGCTTAATCGAACTCACAGACCATGAGAAGCTGAGCCAAAGTCAGAAGCTCAACCAACTGAGCCACCCAGGCACCCCACATGTACATTTTTAAACATGAACAGTAGCATGTTATTCTATGTATTATCCTATTAACCTTTTTTTCACTTAAAAATCTATCTTGGGAGATCATTCTATGTCAGAACATAAAAAGGTCCTACATCTTTTTTGCTAGCTGCACAGTATTGATGAATCTATAATGGGATACCCTGTAACTAGTTTTGTTTTAGAAGGAACATAGGGCCTTTCTAAATTTTTGTTATTATAAACAATGCTGCACTGAATATCCTTATATATATCCCCATTTCACAAATGTGCAAGCATGTATTTAAGATAAATTCCTAGGGTATGTAAAATTTTAACTTACTGTTCTTATTACATTGTTATACCAACTTATACCCCTACCACTTTCACTTGATAATGTTTTATCAATCTTTATTTTTGCATATCCAGTTTTTTTAATGGTATATCAACTACAGTTTTAATTTGATTTCTCTTAGTAAGGTTAAGCACTTTTTCTTTATTTTTTTAATGTTTTTATTTTTGAGAGAGAGAGACAGAGACAGGGGCAGAGAGAAAGGGAGACACAGAGTCCAAAGCAGGCTCTAGGCTCTGAGCTGTGAACTTGTGAATCGCCAAGATCATGACCTGAGGCGAAGTTGGATGCTTAGCTGATTGAGCCTCGCAGTCGCCCCAGGATAAGCAATTATTCAATTTGAAAACCATTTGTATTTCCTTGCCTGTAACTTTTTCTTACTTATTTATAGGACCTCATTCATATTAAGAATGATTGTACTTTGTCAGTTATATGGGTTGTAAATGTATTTTCTCTGTTTATCACTGGTCTTTAAACTTTGTTTATAATGCTTTTGTCATGTAGCAAATTTTGAATTTTTTTTGTCGTCAAATTTGTGGATATTTTCTATTATGGCTTCTGGGGTTTGCTCATTTACACAGATGATCTCCACTTTAAAACTGTTACTTTAAAATTCTGTTTGATTATATTGTTTTGCAAAATATATATACATGTGAATGTGAAAGGTTCTATTCTTGCTAAAATTCCCTTTCCATTACTGAGAAACAATTTAAAAAATAAGAAATATGCTTTCATTTTTGATGTGGCAAGCTTAGTAGTGAGGGAATCCATGGAAAGACAGTAAGCCCCTGCTTATGATTGTAGCAATGTTGGGGGAGGTGCAGACTAATGAGAATCTACCTCATCCCTCCCATTTCTGACGACAGAAGCAGGAGAAAGCACAGGAGAAAACCTAAACTCCTTTCACAAGCTGGCATAAAGATGAGATCTGATCTTATTTTTCAGTGTTTCCTGGTGAGAACCCACAGGACCTACCAGGACTTAGAGGTCATGAAGAGAGAGATAGATGGTGATGCTGCTATTTCCTCTGGTTACTCTCCAATAAATGGGCTCATCATTAAGTAGCTGGATGTTAAAAGTGCTTAAATTGATAGGCCAATGTTAGTGATGGCGGTGGAGGGGAGGCTAGGGAGAAGAGGGACAAGCTGTTATTGTTAAGGTTAAGGTCAGACTGTGATAAAATGCTCTGAGGAAGCCAAGGTCACAATGTCTTCAGCCAAAAGTTAACAAGTGGTTAAATGATAGTGGTTGACAACACTGTTAAAGGCTCAGAACTAAAACTAGGTCTAGAGCCAGAGACAGACAGCTCTTTAGGTTTGGGCTTATTTAGTGATTATTAACAATTTTCTTTAAAAAGTAAATCTTGTGCCTTCTTAGTCTTCTAACTTAGGGTCATCTAAAAGAGCATGGCATGTATATATTAGGTATTTAATAAATATTTGTTAAATGAGTGAATAGCTAACATGATGATAGCTTACATTTATTGAATGTTCTAAGGACCAGACACAGTTCTAAATATTTTTTAATTTCTTTTTTTTTAAGTTTATTTAGTGTGTGTGTGTGTGTGTATGTGAGAGAGAGAGAGAGAGAGAGAGAGAGAGAGAGAGAGAGATGGGGTGGGGGAAGAGAATCCCAGAGAGAGAGAGAGAGAGAGAGAGAGAGAGAGAGAGAGAGAGAGATGGGGTGGGGGAAGAGAATCCCAAGCAGGCTCCACACCGCCAACACAAAGCATGATATAGGGCTTGAACTCATGAACCACAAGATCATGACCTGAACTGAAAGCAAGAGTCAGACGCTCAACCAAGCCACCCAGAAGCCCTATTTTTAATTTTTTTTTCTCAAAAGTTTATTTATTTTGAGAGAGAGAGAGAGCAATTATTTTTTAAATCTAGTTTAACCCTCACAATACCCTTTGAGGTAGTTATTCTTAGGCTCACTCCTCAGATTGGAAAACTGAGGTTCAAAAAGATTACAGAGCTGTGTAACTGGGTTTGAGTCCTGGCTTGACTCTAGCACTTATCTTGGGCAATAAAGAAAACAAGAAAAAAAGAGACAAAGAGAGTGAATCTATGATTTAAGAGAGGGAAAGAAAGAATAAAAAAGAGAGAGGAGAAAGTCATCAAAGAAATCATGTAACAGAATTTTCAAAAGTTGAAGGAAATATATTTCTGGATCAAAAGGGCACAGTGATTATCCAGCATAATGAATGAAGAAAACATGTATACTGAGGCATTCTAAAAGCTTCAAAAGAGGGGAAAATGGCTACCTACAAAGGAATGAGAATCGGATTGGTATTAAATTTCTCATCAATGACATTGATAATGAAGAAGGAAAATGAGATTGACCTTAGACCTATCTGAACTAGCAAATGAGTGTGACAGCAAAATAAAGATTCTGTCATACAATCAAGGACTCAATTTTTACCTCCCTCCAACACAGTGAGAACCAAGAGGGCACAAGATAAATCAGAACTACACACATACTCTCCTCTCTCTCCCTCCGCTAATAAACTCAGGGCTTTATCTATGTGATGCAAAGTTAGTTCCTAGGAAAGATGGTATGCTCACAAATCCTCTGTTTCTTAATAGAGTTCAAAGGGGACAGAGATGGAAGATGGTAGATGCTTGTTATTCACAACAGTGTTTCCTATAGGGTCAGACAGAAATATTCCTGGCTCGAGGTAAGAAGCAGAGACTCATGTAAACTCAAGATGAAAGAAAGCTTAACACTATTTCTGGTCCAGAAGATTAACCTATTTTTACAGATGGACACACCTAAAACCAGACAGAGAGAGAGCAGCAAAAGGTCTTTTGCCTTTCAGTTAGATATGCTGGACATTTTTACACTAATAATCACTTTTACAACTCTGCAAGGTAGAACCATGTTCCTCTTTTACAGGAGAAAACAATACCAAATTTAATGACATGATCGAGATGGCAGAGCTAATATGTAATGTTTATACATTTTAATATTTCTTCAAGTTTAATAGAATTTTTAGGAATATAAAAATAAGATATTCATGCATTAAGGAATTCATAACCTTTTACAAAACATTTGAAAAAGTTCTTGGTGGGTGATAGATATTCTGGTATTTGGTGATAGATATTCTGGTATTTGTAGTGAGATGATTTTAACTTCAGTAAGAGAAGAAGTTAACACATTAGCTATGAGAAACCAGACCCATAATATATGTCAAGTAATGTTTTTTTAAGACACTGAAACCGATAAATTAAGAAGCGTTTCAGGGGCGCCTGGGTGGCTCAGGAGGCTAACGGTCCAACTCTTGATTTTGGCTCAGGTCATGATCTCAGAGTTCTTGCATTCGAGCTCTGTGTCCTGCTTGGAATTCTCTCTCTTTCTCCACCCCCACCCCCCAATCTCCTCCCCTCCTCTCTCTGTCCCTCCCCAACCTGTGTGCTCCCATGCAATCACTCTCTCCCTCAAAATAAATAAACAAACAAAAAAATAAAGGAATGTTTCATTTGTGGCCACTTGTAATAGGCCATCCCTAATGGAAAGTTACCTTATACTGGCTCTGGAGTTATTGAATTTATTTCAAAAGGTACCAAGAAATTCAATTAAAAATCAGTTACATATTTTAACTTGATGTAACTGTTATGATCATCTATACAGGGCACTTGAGGCATTTAAGTAACAAAGTACAAAACTTAGAATCCCAGGAATTGCCTCTGTTACATTTTCAGATTTAATTTTGCCTCTTTACATTTTTAGATTTAATATAAGTATGATCAGTAACATACTATTTTTGAATTAATAAATGCAAATGCTCTCTTAAGTGTTAGTGATCATCTGCCATACATGCTTCGTAAATTCCTACCTTGTATTTACAAAATGACAAAATAATGGAAAAAATTGAACATTCAAGTTTACTATTTAATGAAGAAAAGTTACCTTTCTTTCTCAAGTTCTTCTAAATAACCAGTATTTTCTCTGCTTCCATTTACAAACCCTCTTTTTGGAAACGAACCCATAGGAACAGGACTGCACTCTCCTGAACGACTAGATACAGATCCTTCGCGGCTTCCATAAGAACGGAGGGACATTTTTGAGCGTAGTTTCACTCCAGGGAAATTACTGCTATCTAAATTAAGTTCTAAATAAAAGAGAGACAAATTTTTATATAACAATTGCTTTAAAGTGGCTAAAATATTGCTAATGCAATTAAATAAAATATTAGGTTCATCTTTTAGTCCTCAAATTTTAACACATAATATAATTGCATATACATTATATTACATAATGCCTGTAGGAGTAGCAAATTTATGCAGGGAACAGAGAAAATCCTTATCACAAACGCTGATGCTCCTAGATATTCGCTGACTGCTAGTTCCAGATATAAATGCAACATATACAAATATCAAGTCTTAAAAAAAAAAAAGTGTTCACTGAAACTCTAAATTTGTAACAGAGGAAGGCACAAATACACATGACTGAATAAACAATTATTAAGAAACTGAATGGCTAAACTTTCCCTCCAAAGTCAGCTTGAATCAGGGGGAAAAGGAGTGTGTTAAAGGAAAATCAGACAAAGTATCTTTCCTCAGATTCCTGCTAAATAATAATATATTTTAGGACCCAAAGGTAATTTCTCAGCCAAGTTTCAATTATCATTAAGCACTTTACCTGTTTTGGTATTTGAATTTTTAAGCAACAAAATGAGAAAGATACTCTTTTAAAATTCTACTAAAAATGGCATATAATCAGCTTCTATATGTGACAAGACAAAGCATTTCTATCCTGGATGGAACAGAGAAGGGCATTTATTCCTTCAAGTAAGGAAATAAGCCCAGTCTGTCCCATACAGCCTATTTAGTGCCTGGCATAATAGAAATGAGCTTTAAAAAGAGCTGAAAAATAATCAAATAAGAAATCTAAAATAATTTATTCAAAGCCAGTTAAATGTCTAACTGAAGGAATGACAAAGAGACATTTTATGTATTTGTATTTTAACAACTAACCCTAATAGATAAGGCTGTTATACCAACAAAACTGAAACCAATGCTCAAGGGAAGCTGTATTTGGATATACACACCTAAAGTTGACAACTGGAGCTTAAAAATTACTTTAAAATACTTAAAAAAATCTACCTTTGAGACGCTCTAATAAATCAATCTGTCCAGAAGAAGCCATAGCTTCATCTTCAATACTTCCTTGTAGCTGTTTAAGTACTTCCTGTAAAAAAGAACACAATATATTAACATGACAAAATTCTAAATAATTTCTTGAAGACATGCTTCTAAGTTTCCTTGCATTTAGGTAGGCTAGGGAAAAAAGTTATTTCAGATCAATGTGAAAATGTATCTTAAGCTGTAAAGCACTCTACATATATTACCTATTATTAATGATGAATAATAAATTATATCTCAATAACAACAGTGATATTTGGAGTGATAACGGAGATTATGGGGAGTCTCTATGCAAGATACTATATGGAACAGTTAAGATACATTATCTCTAACTTTTAAAACAATACAAGGTGAATTATTTTCATTTTTCGGATGGGTCAAGCAAGACTCAAAAGTCCTGCCCAAGCTGCAAAAGCTAGTTATATGTTTAGAATCCATGTCTCTGAAGCCTGCAACATGACCATGAAAAACACCAAATTAACAATTATAATATGCTGTCTTATTTAACATCCTAACAAATATTCAAGTTTCTATATACCGTATTTAAATATATTCTAGCATACTAATTTACATTCACCCAATAATGAAATGACTATATTCTTGCTTACTGCCTCCTGACTTTTGAAGCAATTTCTTTCCCATCTAAGTTCTTCTCTTGATAAATTTTCCTCAAAGAATGCTGGAAACTGTCATTTTCTACCAATTTTTTCTGCATGTTCCTTAATAATTTATATTGTATTTTTCATATTCTGGGGCATTCCATTCAAGTTCCCAGCAAAGTCTTGTTGACCAATTAGGTTTCCAAACACAGGACAATGTTCTTGAACATGTATGACCTTGTAACTATGGGCAATATTCTCCAAAATGAAAATGATCCATAAACAGAGTGGAAAGGAAGTCTGTCAAAAAGTGAATGCAGCAAAAACAACTTTACTGGTTTACCTTGACAGTGACATTATCAACATTAAAAAAAGAATCCCTATGTTAACAAGAAATAGCCTGTGGACTTACAATCTGACCTTCAAATAATAGACCACATTGGTGGTTGAAAGGAACATGGAGGTGATAGATACTCACGTTCAAATTATTAAGGCCAAAATGTATCACATCTGTGGGACAGGAACAAATGTGTATAGTGATGTGATACTTGAATGAATACTCTAAAATGTCTGCTATAAACTTCAGGACACCATTCCTTCCATAAGGTTTGAGAACTATCATTCTAGGCTATCTGTGTTTCTCAGGATCCCGATTCTCCTTCCATCCAGGGCTACTACTTGTAGTGCTTCAATGGCCCTTTAATAAGTATTTCTTATACTCCCCAGCCTCACAATTCAACAACTATCCTTCTGCAGGTAACTTCAAATCATATGTCTCTAATCAATTGCAAACTTCAGATTCACTTTCCCAATTTGACTGATAGACACCTTATATCTGGATGATATATATGTCCAGAACTATCATTTTGAGCTACTACAACCTGTTCTCTGCCTTGTATCCTCTTAATTAAATGTAAACGGCCTTTTCTTCCTTTTAGGCTTAGTCCTTAGCATCATCTCCTTCATATCACCAACTGGTTATCAAATTCTGTCTTCAACCTCTAGTATCTCTTAGAACCATCTCTTTTCTATTCTTACTGTCATTATCCTGGTTATTAACCCCCCCCAAAACTATTAAATAATCTCCTATGTAGTCCTACCATGCATAGAACTATCAGACTAAGCCTTTTAAAGCATAGTTCTGATCAGGCCTCCATACAAGATTCTTCTCCACAGTCTACAGGTGTGGGTCTGAAATTTCAGTATGGATCAGAATCACCTGATAAGCCTATTGCACCACAGACTGCTCATTCAGTAAGCCTGGGATACAGGCTGTAAATCCTCATTTTCAACAAGTTCCCAGGTGATGCTGATGCTGAAAACAATTATCAAGATGTTAACAGTGGTATTCTAAGAAGCTGGAATTACAAGCAATTTTTTCATTTTTTTATTTTTTTTGTTTTGTAATTTTTAAACAATGAGTATTAAAAAAATACTGTTTTTAGAAAAGGTATAAAGATGAAAAAGTCCAAAAACAACAACTAAAAGAAATCCTTGGCATATCATAGGACATATGCCTAACTTTTCAAAATTAAAAATAATAAGCAAAAAACTTAAAATCAAAATCAAATTACAAGGCCATGTAAACTTGGATATCCAACAATAAAAATTAATTAAACTTATGGCAATTAGCCATATAATGGAATACTATGCAACTACAGTAATATTAAAACTATTGATATGAAAAGACTATGATGATACACAAAATTAAAAATAATTTTTAAAAAATTCGTTTTTGAGAGAGACAGAGTGTGAGCGGGGGAGGGGCAGAGAGAGAGGGAGAAACCGAATCCAAAGCAGGCTCTAAGCTCTGAGCTGTCAGCAAAGAACTCGACATGGGGCTTGAACCCAAAAACCGCAAGATCATGACCTGAGCCGAAGTCAGACACTTAACCAACTGAGCCACTCAGGTGCCCCAGTACATACAATTTTTAAGAAGCATGCTGCAAAATATAATCCCATCAAATGCATGCCTGCATATAATGTGCAGAGAGAAAAATCTATACACTGTCAAAGGTTATCTGATTTAAAAAAGAATTTTTAATGGATGATTTGGATATCTTTTTACTGGTCTCTATTTCTTAATTTTTAAAAATATTGAATATGCACAATTTGTAACAAGAGCTTTTTCAAAAAGTTTCTGTACATATGGTTAGAAATCTATTGAGGGGCACCTGGGTGGCTTAGTTGGTTAAGCGTCTGACCAGCTCAGGTCATGATCTCACAGTTCGTGAGTTCAAGTCCACATCAGGCTCTGTACTGACAGCACAGAGCCTGCTTCCAAGCTTCTGTCTCCCTCTCTCTCTCTCTGCCCTTCCCTTACTTGCTCACTCTCTCTCAAAAATAAAGAAACATTAAAAAAAAAAATCTATTGATAAAAACTGTAACCATAGAGGTAAATAAAATTGTTGAAATTTAAGGTTTAAAAAAGTTTTGAGACTTTCAATTAGTTTAGCATGTTTGTGCACTTCATATAAATGGATTCATACAACATATAATCTTTTGTGTCTCATGTTTTTTGCTCACCAAACATTTATGAGATTCATCCATGCTATTACATGTATCAATTCACGGTTTTTCAATGCTGTACAGTAGTCCATTGTATGAATAAACCCAAGTGGATTTATCCTTTATCCTCCTAGTGGGCATTTGGGTTGTTACTTGTTTGGAGGCTATTATGAAGAATGCTACTATGCACATTCTTGCATGTATCTTTTAGTGAACACATGCAGTCACTTCTCGAGTACATATCTGGGAGTTAAAATGCTAAGTCATAGGATTTAACTTTAAAAGAACTGTCTGTTTTCCAACCTGGCTGTAGTATTTTATACTCCTACCAACAATGTATGAGCATCCTGATGTTACACTGTATGCATGACCAGTCTTTTTAATTTTAGTGATTTGAGTGGAGTGAAATGATATCTGCATTTCCCTGATGATAAGGGATGTTGAACCCCTTTTCATGTGCTTACTGGCCATTTATCTCTCTTTTTGAATTGTCTTTTCAAACTTTTGGCCATATTCTTTAAATTGGATTTTTTTTTTTTTTTTTTTTTTTTTTTTTTTTTTTTTTTTTTTTTTTTTTTTTTTTGGTTACTGGTTTGCAAAAATTCTTTATCTATCCATACTGAGTTCTTCATTAGATATATGTATTGTAAATATTTTCTTGTAACCCATGGCTTGCCTTTTCATTTTCTTAATGAAGTTTTTTGAAAAGATTTTAATTTTAGTTTTTAATTTGATGGAGTCTATTTTATACCTTTTTTTTTGTTTAGTCCTTTATGTGTCCTGAGAAATCTTGCCTACCCAACGTCAAAGATACTGTCCTATATTTTCTTCTAAAAACATTAACAGAAGTTCTTGGTTTTAAGGGATTATGTTTTTCTTTTATGGTTAGTGCTTTGTCATTCTATTTAAGAAATCTTTGCCTACTTTATTATTTAAAAAAAATTTTTTTTCTACATTTATTTTTGAGACACAGAGAGAGACAGAGCACAAGTGGGGGAGGGGCAGAGATGGAAGAAGACACAGAATTCGAAGCAGGCTCCAGGCTCCAAGCTGTGAGCACAGAGCCCGATGCGGGGATCAAACTCAGGAACCGTGAGATCATGACTGGAGCCAAAGGTAGATGCTTAATCAACTGAGCCACCCAGGCGCCCCAAAATCTTTGTCTACTTTAAAAACATGAAGCCGTTCCCTATGTTTCCTTCTGGAAGCCACTATTTTGTCTTTCACAAAGACAAAGGTCTATAATCCAACTTGAATTAATTTTTGCATATGATAAGAGGTAAGGCTCTGAACTCTTTACTTTTTTCTTTATACAAATATTTAATTGCCCCTGAACCACTTGTTGAAAAGACCACCCTTGCCCCAATGAAGTGCAGGGATGCCTTGGTCATAAATCAAGTGACCAAATATGTATGGCTATTTTTCTCAACTCTATTTCTGCTAGTCTACTAGTCTAGTCAATTATCACATGTCTTTGTAACTTTGCAACTTTACACTAATTCTCAGCAACTATCTCTTTAAATATTACTTTCACTCCATTCTCTTCCCCTGCCCTTTCTGGCTCCTCTTCAATTATATTTGCCTGTATCTATCTGTGTCCTTCATAACTCTTACATATAGTTTTTTATTCACATTTTTTTATTTTTCTGTGCTTTAATTTGGGTATTTCCTATTGACCTTTTTACATGTTCACTAATTCTGTCTTCTCACTAGTTCATTCATTCTGTGTTTACATGCCCAATCCAGTAAGTTATTAGTAAAACTATTTCTCAGTTCTAGAATATCTTTTTAATTATAGATTACAATTCTTTGTCTAAATTTTCTGACTTTTCATCCACTTTACCCATCTTTTCTTTTTCTCAAGACATTTACAATAATTACATTGAAGTCTTTCCTAATTCCAACATCTGGATCACCTTTGGATTTGCTTCTATTAACT